TAGTATTGCTAATGCAATACTCTCAGAATGCTTGTTTGCAATGCAAATGACATATACGGGAATTACATATATTATTATATAGCATTACTTCGGAATTAATCACACTAAATTCCCTGTACAACTTTGTTTTACCTATCTCTTTTCACCTTGTGGAACATGCATAACTTTGCAGGTACATCGTGTCATCTCTCAAAGCATCAACTTACACTGTAGATAGTAAACAACCCTTTCAAATCAGTTTTAAGTCATATCCTCTCAAAGACACTAAATAGATATGTAAAATATTTATAATGATGCTATTTATTATTCATTTTTTTTAGGTGTGACTTTACTGATCCTAAATAATTATAGGTTGTAACTTTTGTTAACTTTTATAGCTAGGATATAGACACACGTTTTCACCAAAAGATCAAAAACTGAGGTTAATGGTCAAATCTGATATCATGTCATTTAACGATTCTTTTTTTTTCAAAATTAAATTTTTCTCACAAGGAAAGATCTCTGAAAATTAATTTTTCTCACAAGGAAAGATCTCTGAAACTCACAGGTAATTTTTCATCATTTTAAAAATATTTCAATTTCCATGTTATTGCAATAATATTAAACTTTAAGCCAGTTTCAACAACTCAAATCACCTCTACCAAATAATTGTATCATTCAACACCTGTGCCTTGCAGAGTGCTTTGATCTAACTTGAACACATTTCCTCCGCTGAATAACTAACACATTCCTTACAGGAAAAAGAACTTATCGTACATCTCTCCATATACAATTTATGTACATTAAGTAAGGAAGTTTGCTAGTTTCTATAAATAACATTTAAATACCTGGTAATTCCATCCGATACTTCCGTGCTGTATTGACATTTACCCTTTAGATTACGGACATAAAAGCAATAAGGAAGAAAAATATATTTTATTGACAAAAATTCACAAAAATATAGTAGTTAATTTGTTTAGAAATGTTATTTTCATAAACATAATCAGAAAGGGTTATTCATAAAAACAACGCTATCACTGTGGACAATATGGAAAGGAAAAAAAAATTCAGCTAGTATGTATATCATATCGCTTTTGGAAACCGAACAAATCAGGTGGCCAATAAATCTTGCATATCTTTTAGGTTAAGTCTTCCCAGCTTTGTTTCAATATTAAATTTTCCTCCTTTATTTTCCGTTGTTTCCCCAGAACAGAAGTTTCCTGTCCATGGAATAAGGCATCTTGAAGCAGCCGAGGTCTACGTTGTATGTCTGCATCATAGTAACTGCCAAGTTTAGGCAGCCACTGATGTCTGCAGATTCAGTCTTGATATTGGCGATTTCTGCGCAAACATTGACGGTATGACCTTGCACAGTCACGTCTTTGCATGCTTTCGGATTGTCAACTAAACCAAAAAAAAAAATATATTGTAATGAAATTTCAGTCTATAGTCAGTCAGAACACGATAGAGTATGGAATGATATTTTAGCCTACACTTTTCACATGGTAAACGATCTTTAAGATTTATATATTGTTTAACATTTTCTACCCAAATGCACGAAATCATAATCCTTTTCTCTCAGCTGCAAGAAAACTGTATTTTATTTGCCTCAAATACATAAAACAGCTCCCAGCCCACTATTGTAAAACGATTTAACTGGCATTTGAATAGTACATTTGGTCATATGAAATAAATCAAACGGGGCCTGTTTGTGAAGAATATATACCCCGAGCATGACCCAGTTTGTAATGGGATTGCATATGATATTGACCTTGATCAACCTTTGTACAGGTTCCTGACAGTAGTTCCAGTACGGGTGTCAAATATTTACATGTATAAATAAATTTTACAAAATTCAAACGAAAATTATTTCCAGATATAGGATGGGAAATATTTATTACTGGTTCATACCAGTAAACAGGGGTTTTTTTTCATATAAAGTATAATTCTAATAACAATGTTCAATCAATTAATCAATCTATATATATATATATATATATATATATATATATATATATATATATATATATATATATATATATATATATATATATATATATATATATATATATATATATATAAAACAAAAAAACTGATTAGAAGTGCAAAGTTTACAATACCTGTTACTTGCAGGTTCATTAACGGTGCTTTGTCTGCACTGAGAGCGATGGAAAATTGTTTTGACTGAGAGGTGTATGTAATATCACCACATACTGAAATTGAACATTCAACATAAAAAAAAAATCAAAATTGGTTTATATCAATAAAGCAGACTGAAAACTAGACAAAAAAATTAATTGAGAAAAAAGAAATACATTTTTAAAAAAATTTTACATGTCCATTTCTAGAATTTTCTAAACTTGAACAAATGAATAAATTTATTTTTAAAGAGAGGTTTTACTAGATTTTTTAATACTCACCTGTTTTTGTAATAGACTGCAACGTGACAGCCTTGCAACAAGAGCATGAATTTTTTGAACATGTGCACCCATCACCAACAAAGTTGCCCTCAAGCAATGCTCCTAAAAGACGACTCTCCTTTACAAGATCAACTTGACCTCAAATAAAAAGTTAACAAATAAGAAATAAGTAGAAAATACAAATAAAATATGTTTGGTCTAAATCGTGATATACGATTTACAAAATGAACACTGGCTGTCATTTGATTTTATGGATAAATTTGAAATATAAATAAAATGAAGTTTGAAGCAAAATTATGTCAAAGAAGTCAAATAAAGATTACTAATTTAATGAACAAACGGCCCTAAGATTATATGATTGATCAATGTATAAGCACAAAACGAGAGGGAAAAAATATTCACATAATAATATTTTATTAAAAATGGGAAAAGGGTGTTAGAATCAAGATAATATGTTATTAAGGGTCCTCTATATAATGAAGAAAAAATATTTTATGAACCCTGAGAAAATTATCCGATGGAAGTGAAAACATTGAACTGATAAAATACATTTTCAACACAGGATACCTGTTATTTTTCCTTAATGTTCAAAGACAACAACATATTGATGAAAAGGATCACTGTTACTTAAATAAGGAAAACATATACAATTTCATTATTCATTAAATTTTGCCTCATCTTCGTCTAATTTAATAATTATCAAAATTATGGAATTTATTTAAACTGTAAATAACTCCGTAAATTTTGTTTTACTCGAGTTCAGATCAATTCAAATGACTGAATTCTTCAGTGTCAGTGTAAAAGTGGTCTTAAAGATTGTTTTTACCTTTTCAGTAAATTGGCATTTCCGCTGAGACACATGATATATTAAAGTACACCTTCATGCAACATATTTTGACATTGTCTGTAGAAACCATATGGATTGATCAGTCATATCTCGTTTACGGTATTTACGCTTAACGTATAAAGTAGATAAATTCTTATGAAATTGTATCGGCCAAAGTACATGTCAAGAAAATTTCAGCCAAAAAGTCAGAAAATTGGTTATAAATCTTACCTTCTGCTTTTATTTGTCCAGCAGAGCAAAGAAACGCAAAAGCCAGTAACACGACTACCTTCATTTTCCTTGTCGACCAAGACTGGTGAACGGCAATTCAATGAATATGATGTCTGGTAGTAAAGGTCTCTTTTATACATTAATGATAAGCATCAACTTGGAAGAGGGTAAATGCTTTCACAGGAAATAATTCACTCATTTGTAACTTTATTTGCTAAGAAACAAACCAATCCAGTCCCCAAACAGAACCACGTGTTCAAACTTTAAGATTGTGAGTGATATGCATATTTAGAATCTCGATCAAACTTTAAGATTTGCATATTTAGACTTTCATGTTGTTTTTATTATATAATATTTTTTTTGAAATTGCCGAATGTCGGTACATTCAAAGTGTGTAATAAGGAAGAATCTCAGGGTTTAGAGAGGAAGTGGAGTAACCATTATAGTGTTGTTTGAAAGTGATAGCATAAAAGAAAAACAAAATGAAGAAAATTATAAAAAAGAATCTTCTTTATAAAAAAGAATTACTGCCATCTTACGAAAGAATGTCAGACTATATTCCGCATTCAACAAAAGAACTTATAACTAAGACCAATTGTTTTGCAAATTTATTAAATTCTTGACGTATTTAAATTGTGGTTTTAATGTAAATAGGAAGAATTCAAATTTAAATTTATATAAGTATCTCACAAAATAGACGGCAAGATTTTAGAACTACGATATATGTTGAATTAGTAGACTTACTCGTTATTACCTAGACTACTGTAAAACAAGGACCAGCTGTATGCTACTACTTATATATAGGTACTTGGCCCCAGGATCATGAAGAAATCTTACACATATGTCAAAATTTCAGTCCTTCATAAAATTAATATTTATTATAACCTGACACTTGAGAATTTAAAAAATAACAACATAATAGAAAAATAAGTTCAATAAGATTTCAATTTTATGTGTTTTCTAATATAAAACCTTACGACAACGTACAAAGTTGAAATTTCTTTATGACCTTGGGGTCCTGATTATTTAGCTATCATTTTAAATAAAACATTGTTTAATTTTTCTTTTATGTAAATCAATATAATATTCTTTAAAGGTTCAGACAATGTTGTTCATTTATTGATACATGTACTTAAAATTCTCATACTGCATTGTTATCAATTTTAAATCGTGAGAACTTCAGGAAAATTATTGTGTATTTTGAAGAATGGAAAATGTTTTATCATGGTTTCTTGGTTTGTTTATGATTATACAAAGATATTGATTGCATGTGTTGATAATGTCCTTGAAGTTATTTGACGCCAAATAACTTGATTCTTATTCTGTCACTATATCAATGGATAGATCAATCACTGTATGAATGTACATGTATTATCATTTGTTTACCCATTTTCAGATAAATTTTGTCAAATTAATTAACCAAAACAAAAACGATTTTTTTTTTACTGAAAATAATTTTTTGAAATGAAAATAATTCAAGTTGAAATCTCAGAATTGTATTTTATTAAATGATTTTACAAGAAAAGACAAAGACAAAAGGCAGTCATGGAAATACAAAAAAAATCCTGTCCCCCTCGTGAAATAAATTCCATATCCGACTTTAAAACATTGAATATCCTCAATGTCCCTGGTAAAACTTTTGCATTTTCAACAAAATAAAGGCTAATAACACATCAATTATTTTAAGTAGTTCCTATGTATTCAATGCATTGAACACATATTGACTTTAAACAAGCAATAGATCTTTCAAAAATCAAAAAACCTATTATTCTTTAATAAAAGAAATTATACGGTCTAACAAGTATATATTTTCGACATTTTTTGCTTAATTTCCGATCCCGATTCTGCGTCTAAAGACAAGAATGTCAGCTTTGTCTTGTAGAAGAGCTGTCGGAATTTTAAAGCAACCTATTGGAAACGGTTGCCTCACAGCAGCAAATGCAATAAGAGTGACACAACCTTGTATTCCCTCGAGATCCATTTTGATGTTGTGGAGATAAATACACACGCGTGTGTGAACCGGATTCTCGAAAAGAGGAACGATTGCACAGAGTGGTTTTGGGTGTTCTCCTTCAATTATATAGATATCAACGATTAATGATTAACACATAATTCTCTACTTCAAAATTATATTTCAAAAATTACGTTTAATATCGCAGGCTGGAGAGTTTTACCTTGAACTTTTTTGTCAAAGATCAACATGCCAGCCAACGTAAAGTTGACGTCTAATGTCTCTTCAGCGATTTTGAATTCCAGTCCAATGCAAACTGCAAGTCGTAAACAATACAATTAACTTCATAATGTGAATTTCAAACACCTTAGCTGAAACTATTTTTATCAACGATACCTAATTTTGAGGTCTGAGATCTTGACGCAAGCCTTTTACACCAGCTGCATTTGTTTTGCTCACAGGGAAAACCAAAACCTTCATTTCCAAAGTCGTACTCCATAGCACTACCTTCAAGGTGATCGTCCAAAAATAATTCTTCACTTTATATAATAAATGACATACTTGATCAAATTTCTTGAAACTGTTTTTATAAACAATGCTTAGGGCATAGTGCATTTAGAAAAAGTACACTTCTCCGCCGAAATATTACATAACCTACATTTAAATTAAATACTTAAGCACTTACTAAATGTTTTCTCGTTAAAACAACAAGCAACAGCAAGGCAAATCAGGATAGACTTCATCGTAAAATGTCTGCCCAACCCAGTTCGATAACTTTCCTACGAAAAAAATGTCTTTTGAACCTAAAGCATTATTATTTATTAAAAAGATACTTGAAATGGAAATAAGGAAACTATGCAAACGCTAGAAAATTCCATATTATTTTAATCCTAAAGAGGAAATTAACAAAAAAGAGAGCATCATAAGAGAAATCGAGAGACATATACTGTCTACATCTATTGCATGCTAATATCGTTCAATTATACATAAAATGATTTGGAATTATATATTCAAATTTAATGATGGTTGAAGAATCGATTGACCTGAACTGATAGGGCATTATTATAACTTTATAGATTAATAATTAAGATATAAATAGTTCGCATTTTAACTATAAAGAAACCTTATGATAAAAAAGAAAGCGATTGAATTAAACATAGCCCCTTTGTTTTTTGCATTATTATATATATTATTTTTTTATTTTTATTTTTTTTTTTATAAATGAGTGATGTTTACTTGAAAAACAAACTATATTAAAATTTAGCCGAAGCTAACCTGCTAATAATCTTCAACTATATCTTAGTTATTAAACAATCATCCTCTATGATAGGCATTTAAACTTATCCAAATGCATGACCATTATTAACATAATTACGACAGAGCGATGTATGGAACGCCTCAACTGCCTTCATTATCTCGTACCTCGTCAACGGACTTTCTCTTTCGGTAGGGCCTTAGCAACGCCTCGAAATCATGTGGAAATCTGCAGTCTGTAGTTCCTGTTACAAACATATTGCACTTAGCGGGTGTGCTCACTGTCTCAGTCATGGGAATAAGTGCACATGTACTCTGTAACTTGTCCTCTCTATCCAAACTAATCTCACCCAAAGATGGTGATTGTAGACGTCCAGCCTTCATGTCCATTCTGGCCTCGTATTTGGCCAAGAAATCAAGTCCGAGAATACCGGATAAACCTTTAAGTTGGGCAACAACAACAGTTGTTAAAAATTCCATGCCATTAATGCATAAGCTGACATCTGTTTTGCCTCTCAGAGTAAATCTCGATCGGCAGTTATTAATGTAGCCTGTAAAGCTCCTAAATCTATATTACAAAGTAGGAAATCAAAAATTTCATTTGATACCAAACTCCATCTAGTCTAAGTATTAACCAAAATGTCTATATTTTTATTACAAACTTTGGCTTTGAAAAGCAAGCAGCTTTTTTAAATACTGTATTAAGGAGCGAGACAATTCTGTTTTGGCCTAATTTCATCGCAAGGTTTCTCAAGGGCTTGGCTTACGGTCGTGGGCTCAGCCCGCTCTCGTATAAATGACTGGAGTCATTATTGATTCCGTTCGCATTTTTTGGCTCGGAGATTTCATTTTTTTTGGACATTTAGTATTGATAAGGACATTTTCATTACAGGCAAAACAAACTATTTCTCTCGTTTTATTACGACCAGCAAGTCATCTGTCATCGGAATTGCCATGCTTTTTAATATCCATGGAATTCAATGTTCTCTGAATCATTTGTTGTACTGATTCCTTTAAGTTTTCAATTCGAAAGCCAGAGATACTACGGAAGCCCATTTAGGACCTATCAAAAAATATTTTTGAATTCGATATAACGAATTGTCAAATTTGTTATGACGAATTTAATTCGTTATAACATTTTCTTTGAATTCATTATAACGAATTTAATCTGTTATAACAAATTTGTTGAATTCGTTATAACGAATTGAAAAATTTGTTATAACGAATTAAATTCGTTATAACGAATTCTAAAACTTGTTATAACGAATTAAATTCGTTAAAATGAATTCTTTAATTTGTTATAACGAATTAAATTTGTTAAAACGAATTCGACAAATCGTTATATCGAATTCATATATATTTTTCTACAGGCCTTGATTGTTGAATTTGATTAAACGAATTTAATTCGTTGTAACAAATTTTAGAATTCGTTCAAACGAATTTAATTTGTTATAACAAATTTTAGAATTCGTTTAAACGAATTAAATTTGTAATAACAAATTTTAGAATTTGTTTAAACGAATTTAATTCGTTATAACCAATTTTTGAATTCGTTATAATGAATTCAACAAATTTGTTATAACAGATTAAATTCATTATAACGAATTCAAATAAACTGTTATAACGAATTAAATTCGTTATAATAAATTCAACAATTCGTTATATCGAATTCAAAAATATTTTTTAATAGGTGCTAAATGGGCTTCCGTAAGATACAGCACTGTCCACTTTTTTAGGGTGAGAGAACTTCATATAGTACGGAAGCCAATTTAGGACCTATCGAGAAATGTTTTCGAATTCGACATAACGAATTGTCGAATTTGTTATAACGAATTTAATTCGTTATAACAATTTCTTTGAATTCGTTATAACGAATTTAATCTGTTATAACAAATTTGTTGAATTCGTTATAGCGAATTAAAAAATTTGTTATAAAGAAATTCGTTTAAACGAATTCTAGAATTTGTTATAACAAATTAAATTTGTTTAAACAAATTCTAAAATTTGATATAACGAATTGAATTCGTTTTATCAAATTCAACAATAAGATCTTCTAGAAAATATATATGAATTCGATATAATGATTTGTCATTAGTTTTAACGAATTTAATTGTTAAAACAAATTAAGGAATTCGTTTTAACGAATTCATTTCGCTATAACAAGTTTTAGAATTTGTTATAACATTATTAAATTCATTATAACAAATTTTTGAATTCGTTATAACGAATTCAACAAATTGTGTTCAAAGAAATTGTTATAACGAATGAAAATCGTTATTACAAAGTCGACAATTCGTTATATCGAATTCAAAAATATTTTTGATAGGTCCTAAATGGCTTCAGTAATGTAGCGTTTATGTTCATGAAAACTTAAAGATAAGCACGAAGGTTTTCTCACAAACATAATTCGTTGAATCTGCTTTATGAAACATTTTGGCGAAAAACCGACCAAAATCGGCAACGTCGTTCCAAAGATAATCATAGTTGATCGTCTGCATTAGCACCTGTAAAAACGATCGATAATACTTCACAATGTCACTTCCGATTTAAAAGCAATCGAATTCAATGAGGTCACGGGTGTATCTTACTTCTTTCTAGTGAAAGGTGGAAGATGATAATGATTGATTGATTGATTGTAAGTTGTTTTACGTCCCATTCGAGAATTTTTCACTCATATAGAGACGTCACTATTTTGACCTTTACTCGGCACTCAGGGCCATTGAGCAGTGGGGGATCTTTATCGTGCCTGTCGTGACATGGGGCCTCGGTTTTTAAAGTCTCATCCGAAGGACCCGCAACTTTCACTTCGATTGCATGGTGAATGAACAGTTGCTACCCATTTTTTATCGACTTAGGTCAGTCGCGGCCGAGGTTCGAACTCACGACCTCCCGATCGCCAAGCGAGCGCTTTACAGACTGAGCTACCGTGAACGGTAAGATGATAATGAAGTTTCGGTAGAAGTTCCTTGTGAAACGTCAAGTTTTTTAATGAGGATTCACTCCTGTGCAATAATACAGAAAATGTTGGAGTAAAACCTTTTCCTTAACCGTAACTCATAACCTTATAAAATCTTATAAAGGATTATTAGATTAACCTTATTATCTTGCAAACATATCAATTTTACAATCAGGGAAAAAATTATTTTTCATGAATTTTTAACTCGATCAACATACATGAAATGTATGGATATAACAAATAGTATTCAAGTTCAAAAGTCCATTAAACAATACAAATGTTGGAGCAGAGCAAACACGGACCTCTAAAACATCAGAAGTGGGATTGGGTGCCATGGAGGAGTGAGCATCCCCGCCGACACCGGTCAGCATATGACTTAATGATAGATAATATTTGCTGACAAGGTCATGTATAGACAACATAACTTACGAAATGATGACTTTAAACGAGACTGTTGATATTCTTGTTTCATCAACTTGTTTGTCAATAACTTACTTCGTTTTAGAAATTGTTCATACATAGAACATGCTCTTGCGTATCGAATCAACCGCGAGATATACACCCCATATGCAGGTGATATGGGTATATTGTTGTATAAGAAAAGGAAGTGGACGATTGCAAAGTTAAAGTCATCATGTTTATCATAAAGCTTGGTTGTTAGATTACCATTGACGTCTTTTTCTATAGTAAAATATCCAAATATGAAACAGATGTGTCAGACTCTATGGTATCTGTTATTTCAAGCTCACTGGGATATATCGTGTCGACATATGAATGGAAATAACCATTGTTAATTGATAATACATCGTCGATATATATAAATGTCGAGTTGAAGGCCAAAGCAAGAGATTTCTTTTTCTCATGTATAAGATTTTGAATAAATTCTGCTTCATATGAATACAAAAATAGGTCTGCTAACAAAGGGGCGCAATTGGTACAAATGGAAATTCCAACAGATTGTTGGAAGACCTGGTCTCCAAAAACCACATAGATATTGTCAATCAGAAACTGAAGAATCTTTTCATTATAAACTTCAGAGTACTTGTGTGTACAATCAGAGTGTTTTTAACATAAGAATTTTGCAAATGACCAATGACAGGGTAAGTTAATTTACGAGTTTCATTTTAATTGAAAAAGCAGCTGTCTACGATGTCAAAAAGCCTGGACTTTAATTCTCGTGGGGAATTGATGTATACAGAGTTGAAAAGTCGAAAGTTCTTATGTTATTGATTTTGGTAAAATTTTGTGATTTCAAATTTTCCAATAGTTCCGGTATTTTTAAGTATCCACATCTAACCCTATCGCCTGGCATAATCTTCAACAGAATTTATAATATTTATAAAATTATTATTTCAGTTGAAAGATCAGGGTTCCCTAAATTTTGGCCCATTTAATTAAGTGATTTAAGGTCCTCATTATTAACTTTATTTTTGTCACTAGTAATAACGTGTCCAGCAGGACTATAGTTGTAGGGTGAAGAAGAACATGAACACGATGGAAGTATCTTTCAGATGTTCAATATCCAGGATCTCTAAAGTTTACTTGTCATT